GTGTGTGTGTGTGTGTGTGTGTGTGTGTGTGTGTGTGTGTGTGTGTGTGTGTGTGTGTGTGCGCGCGCTCTTCAGTACAACCATTTGGTGCACGGGTGACGAACAAGAATGAAGAAGTAAAAACAAAAAAAAACAAAAAAAAAAAAAACAAAAAAACAAGACTGAAGAAGCAGTTATTATACTTACGGTATTTTTCGTACGCGCTGTGCCTACGTATGCGTGTGCATGGATGTACGTGTGTGCACGTGTTGCTCGGCCCTTATCTGTCTGCCGGGGATTCTTCATTCACCACACGTGGTCCCTCAATGGCTCAGGCAAAACGTCGCAGTCTGGGGTTGTAGAAATAATCCAGTTCCCCCTACACGCGCATGCATCCGTACATAAAACATACGACTTAATAAATGCATTTACTCATTCATGTATTTAACAGATGAGTGCTTGTAGTATACACGTGTCCACGTACGAAAGTTTTAAGTACACGTACTTGTGCACAACCTATGTATACATGCACGAACACGTGGCGGAAAAAAAAAAAAAAAAAAAGACATTCGTTCTCAGCCGGTGGCAATATATACTCGAGTCCCCCCCCCTCCCCCCCCAAAAAATATATATATATATACCGGGCAGTTCTATTTGACGATATATATGTAGTCAAACAGAAAATATATATTGTCACAAAAATATCAGAGCGCAAATGCGGAAAAAAAAAGAAAAAAAGAAGAAAAGAAAACCAGGGAAAATTGAATTCAATTTTTTATCTTCTTCCTGTCACAAGAGTATCAGAGCACAAATGCGAAAAAAAAAGGAAAAAAGAAAGAAAAACAAGAAAAAATGAATTCAGTTTTTTATCTTCTTCCTTATAACTCCCCCTGTTCGGAACCTTTTGCGTACAAGGCCGCCCACGTCAAACAGAATATATATATATATATCTCGTCAAACAGAGTACATATATATAGTCAAACAGAGCTGCCCGGTAAACCGTAGGCAGAGAGGGAGGGAGAAGAGGAGAACAAGCGAGGGGCTGTGACAAGCTGTATATATGCTTGAGAACATGGAGATAGTAATTGTGCCTCCGTTTTCATCTTGCTTTCGTCTTCCCCCAACCCCATCGTTTGGGGGAACACTATACAGTGTTTAAATCCAACACTCTCCATCACACCACACGCAATCCACTCACACGCACAGTCACACCGGTGTTGAGCAACAGATATGGCTGTCCCCCGATGAGGAAAAGGCAGCCTCTTTTTTTTTTTTTATAGAAACAGGGGCAAATTTTCGAAACCCACCTCTGAACGGCTTGATGATGGGCCTCTTTCTTAAAAGGGTGGCGGCCTTGAGATACCAACCCTCATGGAACTGACAGGGCCCACTGGCAGGTAATTCAGATAATGGGCCACTTTGACTGGCTGTACCGGGGTCTGCTGCTTCCCTAACCCATCGACACAGGTGATGGGTTGTTGCCCACTGTCCGCTGCTGCCCTAACCTATCACCCCCTGCTTACCGTCTTCACCGGAATAGAACGCCCGGTCATTAAAGCTGTGCATTTGGGGCAACTTTCAGTCCAGATGCAGCGATAATGAGCGGGCATTTTATTCCGGTGAAGACGGTAGTGGTTAGATCGATCATCAATCATCAGATCTCCTGAGCTGCCGTGTATATCAATCAGCTGATCGCTTCATGTGAAACGTGCAACGAAGTCCTTCGGGACATCCGATAAAATTGGAATTGGAACGATACGGAAAGAAAGAAGATGACTAAAGCGGCCGTCGCATGAACCAGGCCGGAGTGCCTGGATCATGCGACAGCTGTCCGCCCTTTTATTAAAAAAAAAAAAAAAAAAAAAAAAA